GGGGAGCCACTAGCCATGCACTCGGCCTCCACAATGCGCTGAACAGCAGAAAGAATCTTCTGCCTGGTCTCCAGCTTGACAGTCCGAAAGTCAAGCCCAATCTCGGCCCGATCCGCAATGATATTCTCCGTCTGCCCCGCTTGCAGGCTTCCGACAGTCACGACCGCGAGGTCGCTGGGATCAATCTCTCTGCTCACGATACCCTGCAGTCTGACAACAATATGCGCAGCCAGAAGTGCCGGATCGACAGTCTGATGCGGCAGGGATCCATGGCCGCCGCGCCCATAGACGGTAACTTTAAGACTATCGGCAGCAGCCATGATGGTTCCAGGCCGGCAGCCAACGCTTCCTGCCCGCATGCGCATGACGTGCTGGCCAAAGACATAATCGGGGACTGGGATCTTGGAATAAAGTCCATCGTCTACCATAGCCTGCGCGCCACCGCCCCGTTCCTCATTGGGCTGAAACAGCACGATCAGCGTTCCGCTCCACGCATGCTGCATGTTCGCAAGAGTCTCAGCCGCTGCAAGTAGGCATGTCATGTGCATATCATGTCCACAGGCATGCATCACTGGTTTTTCGACGCCGTCGGCGTCACGCATAGTAACCGTGCTCGCGTACGGGAGTCCAGTGAGTTCCTTGACGGGGAGTGCGTCCATATCAGCTCGCAGAAGGACGGTCTTGCCGGCGCCATTCCTGAGGACACCTGCGAGGCCATAGCCGCCGATATTGGTGTGGATCTCATAAGCGTTCAACTGGGACAGATGGGCTGCGACCTTTTGAGAGGTAGATTCTTCTTGCAGTGAAAGTTCGGGATGGGCGTGGAAATGCTTGTAGAGATCCTCGTACGGAGTCAAGTCTACGGAAGCATCCTTCAAAATGTCTGACAGGTTGTGTGCCATTTTGTAGACAATGCATCAGGGAAAGGAAACAACGTAGAAACGTCGAAAAGCGGCGAGGGGTAAGCAGTGAAGCACTAGAACGGAAATGGTAAGACCACAAAGCGCTTAAAAATCAGTCCTCTAGGCTCTAGCGAATAACCTCAGCCCCGCGGGTGCCGTTCCAGTTGGCCAATTCCCCCAAAGTGATAGAGCTGAGGAGTGCTCCTGCTAAGCCGTCCAAGTTGGTCCTAAAGGGGTCCAGCCGGTTATCCCAGACGATATTCCCATGCTCATCGAGCCAGAGAATTCTAATCAATCCAGACTCAATGGCCTCTCGGTCCAACAGGTTAACACCAGCCTGGATTTCAACTCTGCTATCGCGAGGTCCCTCCACTCTTCCTTGCTTTCCTCCTCAGCATGCGCCACCTGGTACTCGTCGTTTTGGCAACTCTTGTACTGCAGATCACTCCCGTCTCCATTTATGTCAGTAATGCCACCGAAGTCCGTGATGCCAGGGACGCGGACTAACACTCGACGCCATGAGTCCTCGCTGCCGTCGTCGAAATTGTAGCAGGCATGGTCCCAGGACCTTGTCCTCTGGGACGCCTGATCCAGGCACTTCGGATCTCTGTTTCATCTCTTCGTATTTGCTCGCGAGATCCGGGTCGTAGCATGTCCGCAGCCAGACGGTCTGCCAGCCGTGACTGCTGACCACACTGACATTACGCTTGTGTACTGTCTGGTGGCCAACACGCGTCTAATCTCCTCGCCGTTTTCAGGCGGAGAGTACGGCGGAGTGGACTCGAATTCGGCACGGAGCTGATACGGCTAGCAAGGACAGTCAGCCTTTCTGTAGGTTGCTGCAGCGGGAAAGAAAGGTCATACCCAGCGTTCGATTAGCGTCAGCTTCTGGCATTCCCAGACGAGTCGCTCCCACTGTTCCTGACTGTCTTCCGCGGTATCGCGATCCCAACGCTCCTGTATACAGAGATCAGACTAGAACAGAACTAGATGGATGCGACGTGTAATCTGGGAACTGACCGAAACGAAGAGGTCGAATGGCAGACGGCCGTATCGGCCTCTTTTTCGAGCGTTTTTCCTGACATCTTGGACAAAAGGGCGACGTGGAATGGTTGCAAGAGGAAAAGCGAAGGTAACCACCAGCCATTCAGCCACTAAAGTAAGAATATCCTCCAACTCCAGGGTTTCCCCTTGGCAGCCTCAACCCCACTGGCCAAGAAAAGTAGCACCCTCTGTGCCGTCAACTGGCTTCTCCATTGCGCTATCTTCCGGGCATTTCTTACCACTTACATAGACCAAGGATGTTGGATTGTCCCACTAACTGCAGATACCCACTTGTTATTATCAAGGATGGATATTATAGAAATAATATATACCCATGATGTGTTTAGACTGCCACCCTCCCTTCCCAACTCCACTGATTTCTGCTAAGTCTACCGTACTTATTTCCTCGAAGCCAGTTGACCTGGAGACTTGTCAAAAGCATGGCATCATCAAAGCTACTCCCACTCAAACAGCCTCTTGCACTCAACCAAAATACGTCGCCACAGACCCTGTGGCCCTCCGCGTAAAACAACACAGCCAAAGCTTGTCCGGCGGAGACTTCACAATCTCCACCTATCCCACGGACGACTCTCCGCTCGGAACGAAGCTCTTCTCTGTGAAAGGTGATTTCGGATCATTGAGTAACAAACGACACTTCAGCGACACCTCGGGCCTCCCATTGTTTACACTGCAGCGCAAAAAAGCCGGCGTGACGTGGTTCGTAACCCTTCCTGGCGACGAGCGCGGCTCTGAACCTATTGCGACGATTGCCACGAAGTGGAGCGCTTTCAAAGATAAATTCGACGTCTACTTTAAGAATGCGGCTGCGAATGGGGAGGAGACGGTTCTGGAGGTCCGCGGGCAGAATGTGTGGAAGACGAAGACACACGTCTACTACAAGGGGAACTTGGTGATGATCACCAAGCTTGCGGATGTGGTGTCGGTCTATGTGCCTGGCAAGCGTCCTGCCTGGACGGTAGAGGTTGCAGAGGGGATGGATCTATCTCTGGTAAGTTCTGGTTCTGTTAGAGGTCAGCGATGGTGAGAGTTGTCTGATGCTTGTCTAGGCCTCTCTTATTACAGTCCTCTTGGCTACACTGCTCCACTACAGCAGTTTACCGTCATCTCATTCTGGCCCCAGTTCCAGGGAAGATGAAGACTTCAAGGGTATCAGCAAGAAATAATGGACCTGGTCATGTTAACTGTCAGCTGTCCGAGGATGAAAGTTATGTTCTGAAGACACATTTGCCCATAACATGTCTTTGTGCCCTTGCCTTCTCACAATATTTCCTTAGTCTCTAATTTGCATCATTTTGAGGCCATAGAAATGATATTCTTTAATCCCTCCCAGCTAAGGTTAACAATCCATATCCAGGCGGCTAATCGTCATGGCATGTTGTAGATGGAAAGACTACTTGATTTCTAAAACTGAGACACTTGTCTCAGGCAGGTCCATGGTCTATCCACGGATCACCAGTTGGTTATACCCACAGCCCCCGCTATGGAGAACGGGCTATCCGGCTGAGGCGCTGGCGGCTTGGTGCCAAGCTAAGGTTGACCAATCGTAGTGGAAGTGTTCCCAACATCATACGTACATGCTTTCATAGATGAAGTAGCTAGCTAATTGATAGTGATCTGCAATTGCCTGATAAGGAAGAAACTCAGAAACAAAGGTCATATTCATAGTCAATCTGCTTAGTTGTTGACGATAGCTAAGAAAAGGAAAACACAAAACAAAACACATAGAGTCATAGACTGCTCGGGACGTATAACGTATACATCAACTGGTAGAGACTTAGAGTAGTACCCTCTTATCCTCAGTTCAAAGAAGATTGTGCACAATAACCATCAGCCTCTGCTTGTCAACCGCACTCAAGTTGACATAGTCAAGGCAAGCAGAGCCACACAGGATGGGAGTTCCCTGTTCAGTAAAGAGAGTGGCCAGAACCATGCACTTAGGGGCCACATTCTCAACACGGAGAGCTGCAAACATCAGTTCTTCTCACTCTACCATCCTGTCTGAGGAGAAATGCTTACAGTTGACCGACGTTCCCCAGACAGTCACGGTCCGGCCGACATTGGCATCACGGCACATTTGAATGTTGTAATCAGGCACACCGGGCCAGGACTGGCGCTTCTCGACGTCCACAAGGTCGTCGATGGAGGCGTCGGCGTCACGCTTCCCGACGCCGCCGCTTTTAAGGCCGATGTAGATGAGGTTACCCGCCAGGTGGCAGCAATTGTAACGAGTAGACGGAAGAAAAAAAGTAAATAAAAGACAAGTTATGAAGAGAAACAAGACCTTGAATCTTTTAGAATAATTTTATTTATTAGCTCAGAAGAGCTGGCACTAATTTTTATTATTATCATTACATTAAATTTAGTATTATTTAGTCAAACGTCGGGCACTGCCACTAGATATACTAAAGCCCAGCCAGCCACTGGCGCCCTTATAACCTGCCGCATCCCCCGCTACTGATTCTCCACAGCTCTTTTTCAATCACAATCGGTAAGGCCACCATTTACCCAAAGGCTTATTTTTCTTCGTTTCCATGCATCTAATAAATACAAGGATGGGATAAACGATACAGCCAATCATCATGCTAGACTGGTTCAAAAGTCTCTTTGGTCTCACTGAAGAAGCCAAGCAACAGAGAGTCCAAAGGCGCCGCAGCCGGGCCCGAAGCAGGAAAGCTCTAGCCCGGGAGCGAGAACTGCGACGCCAAAACCAAAGACAAGAACTCAAGGGCGGGAAGCAAAGAACTCCTTTTTTCTGGGGCTCTCCGGGGACATCAATGCCTCATCATCGGGAGTCCCATTTCAGGGACTATTTTCAACGATAGTCGTGTTGTTTGATTCCATGGTCGTTACTCGTTAGTCCCTGTGTATACAGCTCCTACGTCATTTGAATGCTCTAGCCGAAAGATTCATGATCAGCAGTGGAGCAGTATGCATTTGGTTTCAGTATGTGAAATTGCAGGTCTCTTTTGCTGTCTTCTGGCTCAATAGCTTCTGCAACCCAGTTTTGTTCAAATCCGTCATCATTATTCCTCAAGCTGAATGAAACAGTTTCCTTTCTAGTCGAGGTCTCAAGAAATACGATTAAGAAGAAGTACCAGATAATTCAAATACATTCAGCACCAGACTAAGTTCAATCCGACGGCATTGCCAGGTTCCTAATATCGCACCCCATGTTTTCCCTCACTAGGATCCCCTCAAAGTGACCGCTTTTCCCCTCTCTCCTATCACTACATATTCATCTAAACCAGCAGCCTGACAGCCTCGTAGAGAGCCGGTTCCACCCCTAATCAACATCTCATTGACCTCCAGTCCGCGAATCCATGGAGCTTTCCAGACAAGTAGCGCTGCACAGCTACCACAATTATCCTAAAAACATACAAGATCCCACACAGGTCATCATCATTGTTACGCCTCCAGTCAGGATCATATCATCCGCAGTAGCTGCGGGAACGGAAACACATTAGCCACTGATGATATGGAACCCCCGCTGCAGGGATGTGGGCTAAAGCTCTGAATATCTATTCTCGCAACCTGGACGGGACTAGGAATATATGAAGGAGTTTTAGCTGCTGCAGACAACTCCTCGAGGGTTGGAGATGACAACACCGCCATAGCTGGATCTATACTATTCACTGAGAGATGATGAAATTATTAGTGTGGTGACTCAGTCCTAAATCAGGACATCAATAAATTTATGTTGGAGTCGCAGCCTGCCACGTAGCACCCCAATTAGGAAATCAGGACTTCCTATAATGTAATCCGATTTTGTCAATTGCGTAAACGCGATGCATAACCAAATTACTGATACCAATCCAATAATTGCCAGACCTGGTGCTTTCGATTGTTGAGTAACTGCTCGATGGAATCATGGCATCCATGGTACATTACGATAAAATGGCATGGTGAAACTCGGATAGATGGATATTATCCTACATGCAGGAGCAACAGGATACTTATCAGAGTTGCTAGAATGTGGTATCTGGTAGTCAATCTGTAAATTTTGCTGACTGAACTTCTTCAAGACAAAGTTCCTCGTGCTGAACACTGGTGTTTTGGGACATATTCAAGGGTCCCACAAAAGTCAACGGCTAAATTTCAATTAGAGTATTCTAAGTGGGGCTAGCGGCGGGAGCTAATGCAAGGCGATTTCATGCCAATCAAATTGCATTAAAGATCAGATAATCTAGCCCTACTTTCAACCTCTTCATACTAGAGAGGTACAGTATAACACAGAGTGCTGTTCACCTCTCTGATATTTGATTGAGATCTATCTCCTCTTCTACAAGATGCATTATTCAAGTTAAATATTTGATTATGACACATTTATCCCTGCATCGCACAGAAGCCCTTTCAGATTAACCAAATAATTGAATCCAAAAGTGAAACTGGCAATCAGTCATCCTCGTCATGTTCATCAAATGGCCAATGACGCTGTATTTGTGCCGCAACTTCCTCGGAGTCTGCCAGTAGGATTGCCTCTGCTTTGAATTTCTCGCTCATTTTCTTAGCCTCACTGTACCTCTCTGTCGGGACCCAGCCATCACCAGACACCCCGAGACAATTTCGAGATTTCTCCATGTCGTCGTCCGCAAGGCGCTGCTCCTCCTCGAGCCGTAGGCACCCATCAATCTCCGCAGGGGAATAGTGAAGTGGACAGACTGAAACCGTCGAAGCATAAAGCCTTTCCCAATTTTGGACGACACGAATAAGATCGGCTTTTAAAGTGACACTGTCACCCTCCCAAGGATCGCCGGTATGTTGAAATAGCTGTTGTTTCAAAACCACATCATCCTCCGTACACGCGCTGAAATGGTCGTCGTTGAATTTGGCGGTGGCCGCGAAATAGTAATAATGGAGTTGGCGTTGTTGAAAATTGATTCTTGCGGCTTCTTGTTCGTTTTCCCCGAGTTGATCAAAGTCCGAAGGAAGTTGGGGCTTGATAAGGTCCTCAGATACTGCGTCGCCATAGATTTGAAAGTATTTTGGCGGCCCGGCTTGAAGAAATAGGGGAAGAATCGAGTGCTGCCAATCTATTAAGGACACCACTTCAAAAGAATCTGAAACCAGTATGTTGTTAGGCTGTAGATCAGGATGGCGGAGAATCGGCCGACTGAGGAAGCACTCTTTCTCTGGAGATAAATGGCGAGCAACTTGTAAATAGTCCCGGGGATTTTTAACGTGGCTATCAGGGTGGACCTTTTGATACGCATATAGCTCTCTGCGCAGCGGTTCAAAGGGAAACCGAGGCCGACCAAAACGAGTAGCCATTCCAATTCCCGCTTCGCAACTGATTCTAAAAGGTAGCCAGTTTCTGAAACTACGTCCAAGTTAGAGCTGGAGACGAAGCGTGTGATTCTGTCAACTTACATGGTCCCCTCTCTGTGGATAGGGAAGATCGTCCTTTCTGCCACCACTTGTAAAGTGCATCAGGTCCAACACAAAATTTTCCATTGCCTCCAGCTTGTTGTAAGCCTATTCTTCGCATGCTAGGAGGAAGTTCATGCTCGTAGTATATGCTTCCATATCCGGGTAGTTGTATGGAAAACAGCAGTGCCTCGATCTTCACGATCTCAAAGATCATCTTCAGCCGCTGCCGTTCCGCCATGGTATACCAAAGGTCTCCAAGCTCGTTTCCTGCAGCTTTCTCCATGATGATGTATTCGGAACCAACAGGGTTTTGGTCGGTAGCCGAATATGTGAGGATACGAGGTACCGGAACGCCATGTAATCGAACAAGTTCCATTGTTGCCACCTCACTCGCGGTCGCATAAATCCTGGGTTCGGTCGATGGATATGGAAGTCGTGCCACAACTTGAGTACCATCTCGCATAGTAATTTCAAAGAGCACGGTTGACCCCCCTCAGCGAGCTTTCGAATACAAGTTACATCCTGGTCCGGTCGACCGATGGATGCAGCCACAATGCGATTCAGCAGGGCGATATTGAAGAACTGTTGTCTCTCCGCAAGGCGTAAGGTCTCGTTGTAACTTAACTTCGTTAGTCTAGGCATGGGACTTCGGGGCTTAACGTACATCCATCTTCCTGAAGTATAATTGAACAGGTCAGGCTGGCTCATTGTAGAATGGTCCTTGGATGATGGTTGCTTCAACAGAAAAGGGAGCGAAGCGTGGTTGAACCTCACTCAATATCGGCCGACGATCGTTATTCCTCTTGTAAGTACCGAAGCCATTCCGAAGCGTGACGGAGAGAAGATCAGGTCCGTCAGAACGTACACAGGTGATATCACCCTTCTGTCATCGCATGGGATAGGCCCCTTGCTAGGTCAGCTGAAACAAGGTACGTTCGACAGGAGTATTTATAGATGCTGTTCAGTATCCTGAGGATCTAGGTTCATAAAGTTACATACGATTATAGAGGAGAAAACTGGCCAGGGAACTATTTAATATATAAATAAAAGATTGTATGAATTTCGACGGCATTCCTTATCTGAAGGACGCAGAACCTTGAATATCACTGGACCACCATTTTCTTATATAGTGAGCCGCTGAAGTCAGCCATTATTAATATGGCTTCATAAACCATCACATATACTGACTTATTACGCTTTTTTCTCCAGAGATAGAAGGGCTCTTTGAGAATTGACACGGTGAATATGTGGCTTAAGTACGGCTGAGCAGACGGGAAAACCTGTTTTGCATTTTATATGGATGTATGCGTCTGCTCATGAGCATCAGAAAAGTATAATGGTCTTGACACAATACATGCCTGTCTTCCTAATCTTGCAAGTACTCATCCAGTCTTCGCCGCTTTACTGCGATTATGAGCCATATGAGCACTGACTAGATGACCCGCCGCCAAAGCAGCACACGTGCTCAACTCGCCTGCCAGCACGGTGGCTGCGACGATTCGGGCCAGCTGACGGGCATTATCTCCAGGGTTGGTGGCATGTGCACCTCGAACACCCAGCAGATCAAGCATGGCGGCTTGCGGTTCAAGGATGGTTCCGCCGCCGATTGTTCCAACTTCGATGCACGGCATTGAAACTGAGATGTGCAGGTTATCATTGACACTATAAACCAATTAGTCAGGCCAGGATACAGTGCAATGAGGTCTCCTACTTCTTCATAATGGTGATGCAGCTGCTACTTTCGACATTCTGCGCTGGGTCTTGCCCTGTAGCTAGAAAAACTGCCGCGACCAGGTTGGATGCATGGGCATTAAAGCCGCCAATAGAGCCAGCCATGGCACTGCCGACCAGGTTCTTAGCAGTGTTGAGTTCAACAAGTGCATCCACGTCTGTCTTGAGAATGGAGCGCACCGCATCCCCTGGTATCAAAGCCTCAGCGACAACTGACTTGCCCCGTCCATCGATCCAGTTGATCGCGGCTGATTTCTTGTCGACGCAGTAGTTGCCTGTCACTGAAATAGTTGCCATGTCTGAAAACCCATGCTCCTTCATGACTTCAAGGGCCTTTTCAACTCCTTTCGAAATCATGTTCATCCCCATTGCGTCCCCAGTCGTCGATTTGAATCGGACATAGAGGTAGGTGCCAGCCTGCGCTGATTTCAAGCCCTGCAGGCGGGCAAATCGACTGGTAGAGTTGAATGCCGTGGTCAGGACCTTCTTTCCTTTGTCTGAATCAATCCATTGCTTGGCTTCTGCTGCGCGAGATAGGGATGGGAATGCAAGGCATGGCCCTCGGGTCATGCCGTCAGCATTGATGACGGTCACAGCGCCGCCCCCAGCATTAATCGCTTTGCAACCCCGACTCGCGCTGGCTACTAGTACTCCCTCAGTAGTTGCCATTGGAATGAAATAGTTCTGACCATCTATTACCAGGGGTCCAGCCACACCTACTGGCAATGGCAGATATCCAATGACATTCTCACAGCAGGCCCCATGGACTAGGGTATAGTCATAGTTCTCAAAGGGAGCTTTTGAATACTCTAGGTCACTTGCCACATCACGAGTGGACTGTGTACGAGACACCACTGCGCGGCGGATCTTGACAGCTCGGGTAAAGGCTTCCAAGCGGCTCATCCTCGGATGGCGTTCCATCATTTTCTCCAGGGCATGACCGGCAATTTTGCCGCGGAGGCATAGATTGACTATCTCCTCATCTTCCAATAGCGATTCTCGTCCTTTTTGTAGCATGGCATCCACTCGTTCGCTTTTTCGCGTGTCTGTCAGCTCACTAGGTCCTGGCATGGTCTTTTCAGACTCATTGGAAGAGCCATTTGACTGGCTCACGATTGCAGAAGAGCTGTCTGGAATCACCTCGCGCTCGCGTAGATTACGGCGAGCTGCCTTCATTAAATAACTGTTCAGTACCATGCTTAGGAACAGCACAGCAATCACCCATTTGCTGATTCCTGGATCTTCGAGCCATGCCAGCACGCCCCCAAGACTACGGCCGCGTAGTGTATCGCAGAGCGGGCCAGCATAATTATCCCCACAAGGCTCAGTCTGCGACTGCAGGACGTATTTGATCGGCGGCAACACTGTAACGCGCGTTTCGATGTTACTCGCCCGGGCAACCACAGATATATCGTCCAGACCATTGCGTGCGACTCGGTAAGGGTTGATTGGGGCCGGCATCAGGATGTCGGAAGGTCTCGACAGGTACGGCACCCAGTTAAAAACCCTGACGTTGCCGTAAGACAGGGACGACAGCTGAAGCACATTGAAAAGCACGAAGGCGCCAACCATGAGAAATTTGCACCGAGATACATTAGCAGCCTTGACCTTGCAGCCAAAGATACGGGAGTTGAATTCCTGGTTACCAGTGGCCATGCCATCGTCTTCCAGACTCCTATGCGGCTTGACATGCTTTCTAATGCGCGTGACTTCCAGTTCCACACAGAGCACACCGACGTAGAAAGTAAATAGAAGCAAGCTGTCAAAGAGGAGGATCCACGCCGCGAGAAAGCAGAACTGAGGCAGAGCTCCTTGTACCCTCGAGGCTGCGCCTGCCGCCAGGATAGCAATTTCAATAGCGTAGTCACGCACGATACGCCCTCACTCGCGCTTGATGGCCACCTCAATGGCTTCGGGTATGGACCGCCGGGCCATTGGTTTTGCAGGAACGTGGGCCTCGGTCGCAGCATGAAGTACCGCTCTCGTTAAACGGATGGGTTTCTCAAATCCCACAATGACTACCAGAATTGGCAGGCATTCAGAAAGAATGATCATGGAGGTAGGTACACCACTGCTAGCAGTGACTTTTAGTCCGAAGAACAAAGAGAAGAAACCAGAGAGCAGCACCGAAGAGGCCAACCAGAAACGGGACCCGAGTCGGCGCATCGACATGAAGAGTGACAGGAAAGTGAGGTACATCGCCAGGTATGCCAACAACATGATGACGATATCAACTATTTGCGCATGCTGACTTTGTTAGCGGCGGATGAACGGACAACATGTCAATTCTAGCGGGGTGAGAAGCAGGCATACCTTGATTAAATCGACAAAGGAGGCCAGAAAGTCTATCAGCCAGAGCCTGAGCTTCGGACCAGAATTGCCTTTTCCAGCGGTTTTCAAGGTCCATATTTGCCCCGAGTGCTCACCCTGCGACTTCGCGAAGTTCTGAGTTTTGCATAGAACCTCCTCCAGGTAATCATAAGGCACAGAAAGAGCGATTGAAGTTTCGCTCAAGACGGAGGATAAGACACTAGGTGTTCGAGAGACGGGTTGTGCAGCGGTCAAGTCCGAAAAAATACTCTCCTGGACGGCAGAAATTCCTGGGTTGCTTTCGGAGGTGGGAAACACGAGTGTGATCAAAGCCAAATGCGATGCAACCTAGCTTGCCAGAAATATGAAGTCAGTAGATTGCTCATTGGGTTGAAGAAGAAAAGAGGTCTCACCTCTTGGTCGCTCATCGACTCATCCTTAGTCTCCCATCGCCAGGCGGTCGCCTCTCCGAGACGAAGACTACGGCTCCCCTGAAGAAAGTCCTTAACATCAAGCTGGTTGAGGTGACTCTCCGAAGGCCGCGTAAGATTGACATTGTGTAAACTCCCTTCCAGCAGACTCGTGTATGTCATGGTGGCTAGTAGAGCGGTAATGACCAGGGTGTAGATTGGTTGCTTTCACGCCTGTCTAGCCACTGTGCCTAACACAGTTGTGCAATGTCGGTGTAGCCAGCCAGGAGTATCAGACTCCTTTTTGTTTGTAGGAGCCATGGCCGGTTTGCGCATAGTCCGGGAAACCAAATTCAGCAATGAGGATGTTGCAGGGTGAGACGATTGAGAATTCGTAATTAGCACTGCGGTCGACTCGATTGAAAGGTCTTTTCAACGCTGAGGAAGTGATAGAGACTGCGACTTACCAGTTTCGTTCCTCTAGTTGCGATGAGAGAGGAAATAGGGGAGCTCTCATCCCAGCACTATTTGACGGCACTGGCGACCCTTGCTAGTTCCAAAGCATGACTCGTCCATTGTTCTTCGGGGTTGTCTATTATTCTAACTCTCAAACAAGGCAATATATGTGGAGTATGTCCGGTTTATCTCTGGGGCCTAGACTCCAATGATGAACCGTTCTTAAACCCAAAAAAGTACCTGTATAGCGGAGAGTGGAGAGCCGTTAGTTGGGGGAAGGAGGCTTAGCAACCTTAGGTCCTATCAGGTACAGACTACCCGAAGGCAACAACATTATCTATTTCCCTGGATGCTAACATCCTAATTCAACTGGTGAGATACTAGGTACCGTGATGGACTTTTCTGATGCCGGTACTGATGATTGTTGAACAATAGCATCAGTAACCCACGCGTAGGGAGAATTCCGGTTCAGTGTAAGCTTTTAGGTTTCCCTATCAAACGGCTAACCATTTCCATTTGCCTACATAAGGGTACTTGGTACAAGTTTTCTTACCGAGGGGCGACGGACTAGCCAAGAGAGCGTGGGAGCACATCTCTGTTGATGTATGAGATGAGCAGTGGAAGATTGATGGTCAACGCTTTTTATACATGGTAAAAGAGAAACCATGAATCTTAAGGATCTAACCAATAGTCTCTTATTAGTAGATACTGTAGTACTCTATAGTTCACACAGACTCCTAGTAAAGAACTACCTTATCTACTGAGAAAACAAATTTGAAGATATGCACAACTGTTTTAAATTCATGTCATTTGCCCAGGTGAAGCTGAGGGCTCTTTTGATCAGGATCAATGCTGCTCCATTTTGGCGTTGCTACTTACTCTATCTATGGCTCTATACAATGTGGTACATTAATCTAAAAAGTACTGCAGCGTCAAATGTATCATGGCAGAGTATACTAGGTGGTTAAGGGTAAACTCGACACTTACTTATTTCACTCCGTGCATACCTTGACAGGACCACAGTCATAGTCTTTCTGATATTCACTGTAGAGCCTATCTATGTAGGAACAACCTCATGTTAACTAATTCTACTAGCCTTGATGACGAAATATGGCAAGTTATCCACTCTCAAGTATGCAGTGAATGATGACCCTTAAGCCTTACTTATGTGTAGACCTTTCCCATCTCCCTCCGCCCTCTCCTGAGTCCACCACAAGACGCATCTCATAATGAACAAGCTAGTTCAGCGCGTGAGAAAAAACCCCATGGTCTTCGATGACATGTCGAGTGAGAAAAATCTCATGATGTATACAGCTATTGAAGCTAATAGCGAAGATGAATAAGAACTGGCGAGCCGAACGAGAAGAAACTTAATGGGCAAGGTCAGTCAAGCCCTACAAAGGCATGGAGTGGTCGTCGACTCCTTTCAGAGTTGTGTGATCGCTCCGGCTTTGAAGGACAGGGCTCTCCATCTGGCTTGATATGTAAAAATTCTCGCTGCTTGCTTCGCCTGCGCTCAGGTCCCGGACGTTTGGGACCAGCAGCCTGACGATCCGCCCGAGCTGATGCATTTGGTCTGGGGCCTCCTTGTCAAGATATCAAAATTAAGTTGAATTCACCGGATTCTAGTTGTCAAAACATATTTCCTGGTCTTTCCAAATGGCCATGACAAGTCCCACAGAGATCAACAAGGCGCTGCTTATGACCCCCCATACGCCCAAGCCAGAGAAGTCACCTGGAACTAGCAAGAGAAAGGCCACACCATCATCAGAGTTGTCGGCTCCTAGCAAAAACTTCATTTTCATTTGCTTGTGTAGAAAACACAGTCATCCTTGCACACCAGATTCGTGTTTCCAATCTATCTCCCCTAGGGAGATGGGTTACCTTTCAAGCAGCCATACCAAACATGACTTGTTCAGGACAGCCGCCACACATACAAAACGGTTTGACTTACAGGTCTATAACCTGGTTATCAACAAAGTCAAGCACGCGGACAAGGCAATAACTGGCTCCTCGACTTCGGCGCAAGAGGCCAGATTAGGCCGGACAGAACACGGACCAGCCCAACAGGACAAGACAGACGAGGATCGAAGCTATACCTCATCTTCGCCAGCTAAAAGTACTACATCATTGTGGTGCGCCATGCGCGTCAGGTATACTGTCGCTAGTCGAGACATCGACGAACGGCGGCTGATAAAGCAAGGAAAGTCTTCGACTATCCTTTAGGTTGGTAGAGATTCTTGCACGACGGCGAACGTCAAGTTTCCCAATCATATTCAAACCACAGTGGGAAGGCCACCTGGACTGTGGAGATCTGTCTTTCAGAATAGGAAGAGCAGAATGTTGGTTCTCAGGCGGCACTGGCTATGGCCCCGGGTTATACTGGCACATCTACCTATCTCTCCGCCTAAGAATATTACCAAGTTTCGAAGTTTTGTCCTTCTTCTCGAGCCGTGCTTTTCCTGCATGTTCTGGTCGATGCGCTCTAAGGAGAGAATTTACGAATTTCCCGAGTGCCTGCGATTGCAATCATCCATTGAATGACAGGGAGGGAATTCGGGATAACAACGACTATACACCAGAACAACTCGTCCAGATTGCGGCAGACACCAGAGAAAAAGATTGGTTATACCAGTAACACTATCAAAAAGCTCTGCGTGCCAATCCCACTCCAGACTTTCGGGCAAGGAACAACCGGAATAATGCCATGCAGAAGGAGTTGACACGAGCCAGACAAAAGGCAGCCTTGTTTTGTTCTGCTCTGACTGCAGATGCTTCACGTGCGAGCCACGCTTTCTGCGGCTGTACAAGGATTTCTAAGGCAAACTGGCAATTTCTTACCTTCAATGCGAGCCACTTGAAGAACAATAATCGGATGGTAAAATGCCCATTAGGGAGGCCTAAGAACTTCACACGGCCGATACCAACACCGAAACCAGAAGATAAGCCAAAGGAAAAAAAAAGGAGGAAGACAAACAGTCAGATTTCCCTGTATTATTTGACTTTGAAGACCCAGATTGGTCGGTTAGGCCAAGTATTATCGTCTTTTACACAGTACAGGTCGAATACGGAATCGTCTGGGCATACCGAAAAACTAACAGAGTTACTTTCAGATATCTTGGATTCTCCAGCATCACAAAAATCTTTGGAGCTGGGATATGCGCGCAGCACTGCTCAAAGCTTGTCAACTGAAGATCCGCTAACTCTTGATACCTTAGCCACAACCATGGCAGGACCATTAATGGTCCAAATGGGCCAAACTTCATCTTTACAGAGGGTCAAATGAGCAGCTATCCTCAAAGCTACAGGTCTGGCGGAATGATCTGCGAGTTATGCTGCTGGGCCATCTGGGTAGTGCTAGAGAACAACTCACTGTCTTTGAAAATCGGCGATCAAAATATACACATCTAGCCTTCTTTCAGATCTCTTTGCCAAATTGGGGTCTACTCGACCAAAGTGGAATGCCTCGGCTCCAGCAACGCGAGGCGAATCACCATCATGTCGTCGCTGTTAACAGTATCTTCCCGATTCGCCAAGGCGTACCACCGGGCAGTCAGTAAATACACCTGACTGACTCGACAACTGTTTCTTGACAGGTCAGTTAGACCTGGACTGTGCACGTCACGTCGTCGAGGTATGCCTGTTTCAAGGTGGACTACAGATATCACCGGGTGCATCCGCCAGGACGGCGGTAGCTCGAGTTCGTATGCCAGTCTGCCGACCCTGCGCTTGATGCGGAACGGTCCTTGTTGGACAGGGCAGAGTATACACGGTACCAATGCCCTTGGCGAGCGTGATATAGGCCCAGCCCCTAAGTTCAACTGGTTTGTGCTTGTCGTCATAAGCGTTGCAAAATCAGAACCTACCTTACTCCCTGGATATACGCAGACGGCGCGGGAAACCCGAACCACAAACCTGATTGGAAACCATTAAAGCGTCTATGCAGGACACACCCACATATACAAGACTTTCAAATGTCCAGGTATTTAACTTCATGACACAGGACATAACCCAAGTCAATAATATAAGAATCAGCCACTTGACTTCAGTTTGAGGGGTGAGAATCATCCTAATCAACCCCCTCAAAGCCCTACAATTCATATTCGCAGGGGAACAAAGCTCTATTACATCATTTTCAGGGAATACTACATACTTTACAGCTCCCCTGCAAACCACTGAAGGGATAGCTTATTGGACCTAGGCAAACGGGGTATGGCGCAACAAAGGGAGGACCCGACTGTCCTTTCGACAGGTCAAAGTCCCTAGGTACAATAGCACAGGCCGAGAAGGCCCTTGTCATCAACTCAGTGGACATCAAGGAAGTAAAGGTCAAGACCATCCCCATAATACGTAACTCGGATTTTTGTATGGCAAACCTCTCAATGGTCCACCTCTGGGACAAGGAAGCGACAGTTGCTACTGGGATGGGAGAGGCAATTGCAGAGGATCCCGGTAGTGAGGGAACAAGACTTCAGACAGCACGTCGACTATGAGTCGGATACTGACGATAGTTTTGTACAACAAACTACATAATATTGCTCTATGAGCTCAATGAATAGGTTGTGGTCCCAGTGAGGGAGGCAACTTGAGTTATCATGATGTGCATAAGATGCTAAAATACTGTACATGTCGCCTGGTAGGCTTGGGTCTAGACGCCTCTGGCGAAAATATGATCCAGTAATGTCAGCGGCTATGTCTTTGCCATGCCCATTCTATCCTGCGTGTCTGCCTATCTAGTCAGATTCCGTTTACTGGTTAACTCCAGTCAGTACATGAGGATCGCAAATTAAGATCAAAATATTAGTATTAATTCAACTAGAAGATAGTCTTTATGTGCGCCGCATGATGCATTTTGACAAGAAGCGGTAAAAAGCAATCCATGATGACAATTCCATCGACTTAACCACGTAAAGAATAAACGTGCCCATTTGCGTTTCATAAAAGATACATTGCTCTATTTAACGACTGGCCACTAGAATCGGACTCGCGCGAGAAAGGAGAGGGTATTCAGCAAAAGCAGCGGACCAGCGGTAGATGTGTTTACAGGAAGGCAGCCAGTGCGGCACCGGCCACGACGGACAGGCCAAAAGAGCCGGTCGCCATGGGCATGGCAGCGTTGGAGGTCGAGCTGCTGGAGCTGGACCTGGTAGAGGAGGCGCTGGACTTGGTGGTAGAGGTGGACTCGGTTGTGGTCTCGGTGGCAGTTGCGGTCGAGGCGGTCTTGGTAGAGCTCTTGACGCCGCTGCTAGAGGGGACGGTGGAGAAGGAAGAAGGAAGGCCGCTGGATCCAATGACGGTAGGAGCAGTTGGGATCACGGGCTGCGAGGTGGTGGAGCTGGTGGCAGTAGTGGTGGCAGTAGTGGTAGCAGCGGTAGCGCTAACCTCAGGACCGACGACAGTGACACCTGTAGTCTGAACTTCCTATAGGATGTTAGTATGGTCTGAAGCGCAAGTCGAATGGAAGAGAGCGTGACATACCACAGAGCCAGAAGACTGAGCGGCAGCAAGGGCCGACAGGGCAAGGAGGACGATGGAAGAACGCATCTTGTAGTGGTTGTTTGATAGATGACCTGAAGCGAGCGTACTTGATCGAAGATGGTAGCTGGTAGATTTGTGTACGGGAACGAGCGTGGTAGATGAGAACTTGAATTTCAGGTACAAGATCAGACTACAAGTACCTCAGGTGCGCTGGTTCAGTTAAATAGACACATGAGAGAAGGCTGCCAGGCAAGCCCATGCAGGAGGGATCACAACAATAGAAACAATTAGCCACAGCCAGTCGCCATCGCCCATCAGCCCTGTCTGAGATTCACAGACTCATAGGAATATTAATGGCCACAGGGTCGATAGGACCCACCAGACTAGGAGGGCCACCGCATCTCGATCCGCTTCTGGCATCTTCTCGACCAGTCAGTAGGCCCGTAGGGCGCGGGAAGGAGAGACACTACCTAAGCTCGAGAGCCTAGACTAAGCCCTGCATTGCGACATACGTAGCTCCAAATAAGAGCTGAGTCTCTGTGGTCAAGACTTTGATGGGATGAAAAAAGGACGGAGTGGCTGTAAAGGATTGCGTATGCTGCTGCTATCTTTGGCACTGCTGGCGCCCATCAACCAATAAGACTGCAACACTGCAGATCCCTGAATGAGACAGGTCTTTGTTAACTGGGACTGTCTGACTCTGATTATTCACTCAACGTGATTATTATTTCCTCGTTGTCTTGGCTTGTCCCTTGCTCGAATATTTATCACATTATCATCTAATTATCTACCTCTTTTTATGATTTGTGTTCGCATCTTAATATTGTTTGATCCACCGCACCATCAAGACAAGATCTACCTCACACCGAGTCTTGTCTCTGCATTCCACTCGGCTAAAATCAGGCCCAATTCTCAGTTTCTCATAGCATGAATTGTTGGTTGCTGATGCAGTTGTCCGCAGCCGAGGGACGGAAAACCAAACAAGAATAGTAACAAACAAAGCTCTTCGCCGCGTACTGTGCATATGCTTTCAACCGACGCCACAATCGGCTGACTGAACTCTGCAATGGTGAGATGCGCAACTGTGCAACATGAGCTGACTAGCAGTACCTATAATTATTACTTGCGCACATGAAGACGTTGCTGAGATTATGGTGAGGCTCGTGGCCGTAGTCCACGTATGAGCCACGCACTGAAATCGTCGTCAGATGCTATGCAAATGGCATCAGATGCTTAGACAGAGTACAGTCTACTGATTTCTCTGAACAGAAGTGCGGATAATGCTATTATCTCACAAGAGGAGGAACTGAGGTATCTTCATATATGTGTGGGTATGCGTGTACAAAGTACGTATGCCTGCATTAGCTTAGCAACATTATATGCAGGTGGAGTCGTGTCTGCGCGTTAAATAGTAATATCAAATCACATTCACTTTCAAATAAATCAGTTACTATACTGAGTAAATGCATACACAAAAAAGCAACTAGAGTCTTTGTCTTTTGTTGTTGGTCATCTGAGAACTGACAAGTCAAGGTGTTCTTGTCTTCTATAAATCAGGTCCAGCAGCCTCCACATCCAAGGGTAGCTTTAATCAATTAACAACTGATGTTGATTTGGACATCCCCTTGGACAACTAAAATACAGTGACACAATAATTACCTGATGCAAGGGAAGTTAAAGGACGGAGCCACTTCCCGGCTTGTATATCACAGTCACAGCCCTTGTTCATTTGTGATTTGACCCTTCAGCCTGAACCTTGAGATCTCAAGTCCATGGAAGAAATCTTCAGTCAAGTCAGGAGATATTACATTTACAGTCCTTATAGCTGTCGCAGAGTGGTATGACAGTAAGACTAGCCGTCTGCTGTACGTTTGTGGGTGAGACTAGTTTAGGCCCAACATCTATTTCTGGGGTAGGTTACTGTCACCCCACCATAAACAAATGAAATTAGAGAGGTACTCCATATGGATAGCCAAATACTTGATCATAACAATGACGAAGTTCTATTCTGTGGTACTTGGAATCTATGTGCCATGAATCAAAGACAAATTATCACAAAATAATCAAAGTTATAATTTCCACCTGCGGGGCTAGATTCTGCCAATCGCCTAATCTGGAACATTCTTGCCGGACAGCAGGTTTCAGCTTTTGTCTGCAACGGCGACGACGGGATGTTTTCCCTTTATCCCTTTCGTGGTGTGCAAGGTCTGGACTCTGGCCACTCCATTGGCCATGTTTCGACTCACTTCGACGGCCTGGAACCCGGTCTCTGGATTGTGGACTGTGCCCATCCCATGTGCGCCCCGCGTGGTTCAAAAAATGTTGAAATGTTGATGCAGTCCTGCTCGTTAATTGCAATATATGACCTACACTGGTTCAGCTGGATTAAGATGCGCTGACAATTTCTGGCTCAGGCGCAACAGCTACTTCTCCCTTGTCAATGTGGACTCGTGTACTCGAGTGCAAATCCAAATAGTTAAATCTTATCGCGGATCCTATTGGTACGGTCCAGGAGACTGGTAGTTCATTCGCCAGGGTTCTGATATGGAGCTGATTTTAATCTCCAGTGGTGCTGATCTCTTCGCTATTTTGGCTTCAGCAAACTTCCTTACCCAGCGGCTTTAACTGAAATCATTCCAGCAATCCCTATCGTCTACCACCTTGAGAGTGTCATAACCTCTAACCTGGGAAAGCCAGACACATTAAAGGGGGTCCTTTCCTCCAGAGAGCTAGATTTGGGGTGAATGGATCACAAAGCGATCTTCGAATGAAAGCCATCTAGCTAGAAGGGGAATCTATATGCCAGATTCTACCCCAACAGCTCTCCTAATAATTTTGGCTAACGGATGAGCCTCTACATCACCTAGTTCTCTCGTAAAGATTAAATCATTAGTTAATGAGTTACTTCGAGTGGTTACCCGTGCAATGCAATGCTACTTCCACTTATAGTATCCAGGCTTATAAGATATGTTATAGGATGGAGAGGTGAGCAGTAGTACTAGCATGGAGAAAGAGCCATTATCCTCCAATGGTACCTCATTTATATCTTATTATTTATATATGTATATATAGGGAGATTATGTGGAAGCAATCCTCTCCTCTGGCCTCTACTTGGCATACTACATCATAGTGATATGAATGTCTATTCACTATTAATGACTCCAAGGTCTTCATACAGACTGAGCAAAAATGAGCCTATTCCTAATCCTAGTCATATACTGTAAGCAAATTGCCATTCACTTCAGTTTGACTAGTAGAGAGTAGTGAATACACATCAACTCATGACTCTTACTGCCTAACGTAATAGAAGCACCTAGCTACCTGAGACTGCTTCTTCACCTACTCACTTATTTCCCTGATCTTGCTAACCGCCATCCTTCAGTCTGCCAAATCCCTCGGGCTTATGCCTGGTGATCCTGGATATGTGGCGTGGATGGCTGCTCTTCAATGCTTCATCAGTGCAGTCAGGCTGTACAGAGTCTATTAGTGACCATGAATCTAAAGCTGAGGACTTGACTATTCCTATGATTCCCGCTGTTGTGATACGGTGGTCTTATATTTTGGTGTGCTGGGCAAAACCAGTCCTGGACTTCGACAAATCTTCGCAATTAGGACAATGGTCCATAAAACATTCGTCTCTAACTCCTTGTAATAATATGGAATGACACTAACTTAAATTTACTTCCAGATATATATGTCAACCTTGCTGTATGAGCGAAATCCATGAGGATCTCGCCCAAGAGACCACCACCTGATCCTCAATAGCCAGATCCATCTGTTAAACTTTTGGGACAACATGGCTACGAGCCGGCAATTCATAGATGCCGGAGTCAATCAGCCAGACTTCACAGAGCGAGAGGAGCATACACTGATGAAGAAGACGACTTATCACTTCAGGAGATCCATCAGAATGGAAGTGTAGGCTTCTTATCTAGGAAAGACCTCAACATAGCACTAGAGGAAAAATATCGCAGAGTCGTGTATTGGAATCCGAAGAATCGTCCTGACTCTATACACAGCGTGGCAATTCTGCGGACGATATCACTATAACCTATGACTTTTGTACCGACGTTGACATTGACACAGTATCAAGCACTAGTCTTGGGCTTTCCAACAGCACGAACAATGAACAAAATAATGGCTGCCCAGAAGAGGACACGCATCACATCTCCTTGACAAACCCAACCTCCACCACCCGATCAGCCTGTACATTTAGATGCTGGATCTTGGTCCTGCTCGCGTCTCGCATCCACAGGAATGCCATTAGTACCATCCGACGAAAGAAATTGGTCTCCCTTGCAATACGAAGCTGCTCCTTGCCCACTATATAGATAACCTGCGACTTCCACGCACGATGAAGGGCATCGGTCTCCTTGCGTGCGTCTGCCGAATCGGCGGACGGGCTTTCTCGAGCCAGAAATCCCCGGATCTGATCCAGAACTAGGATTCCCAGGTCTGGGGTGACGACTTCATCCGTGTAGCCGTGGCGAACAATAAGCCTGAAGCAGTTCGGGATGGGTTGCTTCCCTGGCCCATTACCGTATGTCTGGCAGCGTATGACTGTGTACCTCTCGCTAGGCGCAACGGTTGGAACGGATAAGGGCCGTAGGTGGAAGAACACGGACACCTCCGGAGCGGCGCCAAATTTCTGGATGAAATGGAGGAAGACCGCTGGGGTGGTGGCCGAATTGCCAGATTTATCGAAGAAGATACCGAGCCCGCTTATGGGGGTGATGGTCGAGCCACCTAGGTCAGGGTGGAGAACGAGCTGGTTGTCGCGCAGGAGCGTTGTCCGGGACAGGGGCACATTGTCAGATTCCTCGGCGGTCCATTGTTCTTCTTTGCCGTACCGCCACAGCACGAATATGAGGGTCAAGACAACTCCAAGCATGAGGGTGAACCAAGCACCGTGCGGAACTTTGCTCAGCGCGGCGGAGAGGAACATGCCATCCCACAGGGCGAAGATGATGAAGATCGGCAGAACGAGGTAGATGGGCAGTCTCCATACAATGAGAGCAACTACAGTCACCATGCAAGTGGTGAGGAAGGACACGAGGATGACGCAAGCACCGTACGCTTCTCCCAGGGCGGTTGTCTAAAGCATCATGAGTCTGTCGCATTAATCAGATATCAAGGGGGCTTACGTTGTTATAGACAGCAGTCACGATGATCGTGCCAATCATCATGAGCCAATTGGCGATGGGAATGTAGACCTGACCATGGAATATCTTTGAGACGTGGTAGATTTTGACTTGCGGGAAGTAAGAAAGCTTCATGATTTGCGAGAGAAGCTGCAGCATGGTTAGAGTTGATCGGAGAAGGACCTAACAGGCATACCTGGAATGAACCGGTGATGACAGCCTGGCTTGCGACAATGCAGGCAAGGACCGCGATCACAAGACTTGGGTACAGCATGCCTGGTGGAACAGTGAGATAGAACGGATTGGCATATGCACTGGGGACACGGCTGATATGGGCGCCTTGTCCGATATACTGAGTCATGGCCATTAGCATCATATAATCGCATTCAAGAATCTAGCTCAACACACCGAAATCAAGAGGCATGGGTACGCAAAACAGAGCCAAGAGATCTGCACAGCTCTAAGCAAGAATCAGCATCAGGTTGTTCGCAGTTATACGAGATCAAGGACAATACCTTTTGCTAAAAGCACCGAGATCTGCGAACAAGGTTTCAACCCCCGTAAAGGCAAGCAGGATGCCACCAAGCTGCAGCCAGCCAGCACGCCCATTCCGCACCAAGAAAGCTCCGGCAAAGTATGGCGAGAAGCCTTTCAAGACAAATGCATCGTACATGACAAGATTCTAGAATAATTTAGTCATTGTAGCTTGATCTGGTATCGTTGAACTTACGTATATCCCAAAACTCAGGTTGAATAACAGCCAAACAATCACTATCGGTGCGAAAGTGTTTGCTATCTTACTCGTACCAAAAGGCTGGATCAAGAACACGACGACGAGAATGGCACAAGACACACCAACCACAGTTGAGGAAGAGAGCTCGGGATTGACGACGGTAATACTAGATAAATCAGTCAACGGGTCATTCTTCTAACGGCGGTTAGACGCACCCTTGAATGGCCCCGAGGATTGACTGAGCCGGTGTCAGAACACCGTCTAAAATTGAATCAGTACAGACTCAGCGATGTTCATCGAGGATGCCTTACCTGCCAGCAGCAGTGAAACACCAAAGACCCCGACCACCTTGAACGTCCACTTCATGAACGTGCTCCGCTCTATAACATTCCGAGTCACCAAGTTCGGCTTTTGTAAATCATCTGTAGCATATCTTTGCATGCGAAGCATATTGTGGTGACGAGGATCGCGGCGAACTAGATTGGCCTATTATCAATGAGCACAGAAGTTAAGTCGTCGATGAGCAAATCACAACATACATAGCGGGAGATCAGCGAGTACAAGGCAAATGTACCACCCTCGCCCTCGTCGTCTGCATTCAGGACAATGCAAACATATTTGACAGTGACCATAATGGTGAGGGACCAGATAATTAAGGAGACCGCACCGAGAACATCTTCACGACTCGGTTCACTGCTGAATGTGGATGAGTAGACATACAGCGGGCTGGTCCCTATGTCTCCATAGATAACTCCAAGGGATTGGTATGACAGCCTGGCCATTATCAGCTTTCAACAGTATGTACTAGCATCGAGGTATAGGACTGGTTACAAACCAAGCTAGTGTCAATCCGCTGAACACCTGCGGGCCATCAGTATCCTGCAAAAACACATTTACACCATCACTCACCTGTTTCTTGTGAAAGTCTCTCTCATCATAGTCTCCTTCCTCGGTGACTGATGCTAGTTCAACATCCACATTCTTCGGATCGTTAGTGAGCTTGCGCTGCAGAGGGTTTTCGTAATGTGTTGGCCGGGACGGGAACACGCCGCCGCCAGAGGAAGCATGGAAGACAGCGTCAGTGCCGTCGCTCGATGCGTCTGCGTTTGGCATGGCAGCTAGATGCTTTTTCTGCGTATCAGTCAAAAACGGAAAGAGATAAGGCTCTTTCTCGGCAGGGGACAGGGCTACCTTTTAAGGCCTCGACCCGCGCCCTGGAGGCGTCTAACATGCTTGAGTTTTGACTATTGTCTGGTAGCAAAAGTCCGAACCAGTATGTTAGCTGTGCCATTCTCGTCATCGAAGAGATAGGGTTTCATTATGTTTGGTTAGGTGAGACGAGTGTGGCAGCAGTAGGAGTTCTGGATAGTGGAGAATATTGGATGCGATAAATCCCGCGCATTCCCACCATATCATTCAATGACTCTTAGAGGTTCGTGATAAAATTATCCTGACATCGACTAGCTTTAATTCTTAAGAGATAAGGCTATTTCAGCAAGTAAGGACAGCCAATGCCATGGGCACACCTGCAAGGGCCACGCGGAGATTAATTGTATGAGGCAATTGTCTCCTCCACACAAATCTCATCCTGATATCTGCTTGATCCCGGCAGTGCCTCATGCTTTTGAACATCAAAATGACAGACGGATTATGTTCCTGATAAGGCACTCGTCTGAGATATTTGGAGTTCGATTTACGCAGCAGCAAGTTGAAAAATGATGGACGAATCATCCTGCTAATCTTCAGTCGAATACCATCTCTGGGGGCAAAGCACAAGGATGATGTCCCTTCTTGATCACGGTGTGGTTAGACATAGCATTGCTCTCCAATAGTCTACCTATTTTGATGAGACGGTGCCTGTCTGTGGTACATCCGGACGAAAACATTACCACAGAAAAAGAAACTCTCGAGGTGTTGTGTTTATGACCCTTCACCCAGTCCTTGAATGATGATATGTCGGAACCAAGTCCCTTTGCGAGCAGCTTGCCGCTAGTATATGGCTATGCGGAGCATAGAGTAGATGGATCTGACGCACGACTCACTATTACGGTCCACTTCTCCGGGTTGCCAGCTAATGAGTGGTGGGTTGGCCCTGCATTGATGACCCTATAAGTGAAGCGTTCGCCTACTGCATAGACATAGGCAAGCCATGGAGTGTACTTTCATGTAACGGCTTGTACTTCCCTTCATCTTGTCATTGAGATGGTTTTCGTAGCATCCAAGGCTATCGTCAAAGCCGTGGTGCATGACCAGTTCTCGAAATGTCTTCTGAGCATATCCTGCAAATATCAAGTCCTAGCCGTGAGTATAATCGAAAATCATAAGAATAGCGCAGTGAGAATCCATGATGCTGAGGCAGATGCCCTCATCCATTATAATCGAGGCGATCTATCAATGTATCATCACATAACCTCATCTCAAGATATTGGTTCTTTTATTTCGCTTCCTCCAAGGCATCATTCCCGCGAACCCATTCGGCAAATTCCTTCCTCTTCGCCTAGTACTGAATAAGCCCAGGTCAACTGATCCCGAAAGGAAAAGCGAACTCACCCTGATATCCCAGAAACCGTATCGCTCCTCCAGCCGCAAATAGGGATTCCTAGCGCCACCTTCCCTCTCAATCTCCCCAGCCCATTCGCTCCAGCTAATGGGCTTGAGCTTCTCTGTGCCTAGTACGAGGCCGGCGGAGACGATGACGAGGGAGACCAAGGCCTCGATGACGATATCAAGGGGAAGTGCGGTGGAGGCCGAGGAAAGGCGCACGTTGCTGTATAGGACTGTGTGCTCATGGGCGGAGTAGCCTCTGCAGATTTAAATTTAGCTGGTTAGTCTTCCGGAGTAGTTTGCGGGTCGAGAGATGTGGCATACGCATGTGCGAGCAGAACCAGCCCGAAGAGTGTGAGTATTCGCGATATGAAGCCCATGGTGGCCGGTTTGGCGGGTTTCTCGCGACGAGCGTCGGGTTTATGGATATGTCGGTGGTCAATCAATGCAATCGACAAATGCGCGTGAAAGATGAAATGCAGATACTGCCTGTGTAGACTCAGAGTAGACAGCTTCCTTGTAAGGGACCTACCCACTGAGCTACGATGTTATCACCAATTGTGCACTAGCTTGTACGGGTGACCGGAGGATCATGATACGCACTTAGGTACCTACAAAAATACGGTGTGGTTCTAGGTAGTCTGCGGCCGCTGGTTCCTGGGTAAGCTTGGCAAGTCATCCACAAGTATTACCAGCAAAATTACTAGGGAGATGTACGGTAGTAGCATCAAAACAACACCCCGTAGCATCTAGTGACTCGATCTATTATTATTCCGAAGAAAAAGCAATTCAGAGCCCCTTTTGATCTCCTTGATCTGAGCTGCGCTTGATGCAACTTTCCCCTTCAATTCACCATATCTGCTTGCCTGCCTATCTCCTTTGTTGAAACCGCCTAAAATGGAACATAAACCTAAGATACCTTATCCGATTACCATACGCGTCCAAGCCTTAACTATGGTGACCATTGGTGTTGACATCAAGGTGGTTGAGGCAAGCCTTGGTCTATCTCGTCAAACCTTCCAATACTGGGTTAAAAAGGCTAGGGAGCGAGGGTACAATCCAGCGGTTGATTTTGTATTCTACCGGAATATGTGGAAGATGGCAAACGTTCAGGCCGGCCGAAAAAGACTACTGAATCTACTGAGGAGGCTGTCCTTGAACAAGTTAGGGAAGATACAAAAGGGCAAGAAAAATCTTTCGAAATCCCGACATTTGAAGCCGGTATCTTTCACCATATTCTGTTTTACACATCCCGAAGTAGAATGGCTCAACGCAGCCAAACAAACGACTAACTCAGGCCTTGCTAATGAGATGAAGCAGGAACAGTTGATGTTTGCGCTGCCCAAAAGAATTGAACCTTCGAGGACTGGCAGAATGCGATGTTCACGGGTGAAATGTCTTCTTACAGCAGCGCAGGTCATGTTTGGGGTATGAAGATGATACCAATGGTTCCACGGTTGTACAGCGGCGTTAAGAGGAGTTGGCGCTTTCATAGTTTGAGTGTTTTCATCTTAAGATAAGAAGCCAGTTGTAAGATAGCTATTGTTTTTTCAATCAGCACCTTGAGTCTATGCTACCTAGATATATGAAAGGCGGTTGGTATGGCGCATCTGAAACTTCGGGTTGGAAGTATTCCTGACGGTATGCCTATCTGAAGTGGAATAAGAACGGCTAGGTCCAAAAATGGGCTTCTCCCTATATTCATGTTTACTGGCAGGTTCTGTGCTACAGCAAGAGACGAATGAATGTGGGTATTTTGTGCATTGAGTTTGATTTTCATCAAAACGACTGGAGACTGCTCCAGTCGACTTCTAGTTGTTTCATGACACTACAAGTCGCATAAAAATTCCATCATCACACCGTTGGTCTTCATAACGGGCATTTCATTTACAGCTTCTGCATAGCGGCCTGTGAGGTAAGGTCAGCATCTATTGTCTCGCCGTCAGATCAAAGGTTGAAACTTACGACATCGGTGGACTGGACGTGGTCCTCATCCTCCTCAATCTGCTGCTGAAGCTCGTCCAGAGAAACCTTCTCGTCCTCAATGACAAGGTTGATCTGCAGTTTCTTGATACCGAAACCAACAGGAACCCACTTGTAGGCACCCCAGACAAGACCATCCATCTCGATGGCCTTGACATTCTCGAGGAGCTCATCGAGGTTGGTCTCATCATCTAAACAAGCGCAATTAGTTTCACGTCAGAAATGGGGACTATGAGCGGTCAAACATACCCCAAGGCTTAACCTCGAGAGTCACAATGGACTTGGCAGCAGGCTTAACCTTGCCCTCCTTCTTCTTCTTGTACTCAGCAAGGCGAGCCTCGCGCTGGGCAACAACCTCAGGGTCCTCCTCTTCCTCGTCACTGCCGAAGAGGTCCATGTCGTCGTCCTCCTCAGCAGCGGGCTTGTCCTTGGGGTTGGTGGGCAGCTCGGTGCTCTCGGGGCCATAGGCAGTGTAGGCCTTGGAGGCATCACCGGGAAGGCTGGAGAACTCAGGCTCGAAAGAAGCAATGTGCTTGTACCAGCGAGCAACGTGAGGGTACTTCTCAGCGTCAGGGGCGCCAGAGAAGGCCTTGAAGGTCACAACATCGGCCTGGGAAGGAGCATCGCTATTTGACATGTTAGTCAACACGAATCTAGGTATTGCTTCTTTGAGTACAAGTTGTGTTGGTCTCAAGAATAGCACGCCGATTCTTCCTCGTAATCAGAAACACGATTTCTCGCAATTGTTGTGTAGTCATCCGGCGGGGTCTTAAGCCGCCTCCTAAACACGGACCAATTTGTTTTCATCATGCAATCGAGGTGAAGCTTGTGCTTGGGGGATACAATTTATGGAGAAAGTCCAAAAGATGTGTGTCTTACCCAACGATATAGCTCCTGCTAGCCAGGTAGTTGTTGGCAACTGAGGGGCACCATTAGCTACTGACCAGAGGCAAAAGAATAAAAGAAGACATACGGGTGAGGCCAGCCTCAGAGACGAAGTCGGTGAAACCCATTGTGATATGATATAGAGAATTGAAAAAATATGTGTGTGGTTAGAAAAGAAGAGGGGAAAGAAGAAGCAATAAATAGGAGAGGGGCGAGGTGTCCAGTAGAAGAAGTTTTTTTTTCTCCCAAGGAGGGTCCTGGGCAAAAGCGGGTTAGGTGCGAAAAAAGCCCCTCGATGGGCCCTACACGTGATCTGGGAGGTGACGGAGCTTGGTCGGTTCTGCTGGAGAGCTTCCGCCACTCACAGCGCTCGGAAAGGTGGAGCTTTCGAGAAGCATCAGGATGCTTGGATCAACTTGGGACCGTTGGGGACTCGGAGTATATAGGAAGTCATAGGCTTGTACACTTGCGTTCATTTTTTATCTTGTACCTTACTGAAACCTACGATCAAAAATTGAACTCAGCTGCTCGTCCTACTAACAAAACCGCCATGGCGTCGAGGCAGCTCGCTCGAGCCCGGCTTCTTCGAACACCCGCTCTGTCACCGAAACGTGTATTCCGTCCTCCCCAGACATTACGTTGTCTCCCACAAACACAGTCCCTTCTCCCTAGGGCTTCCCTCACTGCCGCCCTGCAGTCGA